GTACTTGGATGCAATCTCAAAAATGACAGAATGATCTCTGTTTGTTTCCAAAGCAAACCATTCAACATCATGGTAATCCAAGTCTATGCCCCGACCAGTAATGCTGAAGAAGCTGAAGTTCAATGGTTCTATGAAGACCTATAAGACCTTCTAGAACTAACACCCAAAAAAGATGTACTTTTCATTATTAGGGGACTGGAATGCAAAAGTAGGAATTCAAGAAACACCTGGAATAACAGGCAAATTTGGCCTTGGAGTACAGAATGAAGCACGACCAAGGATAATGAGTTTTGCCAAGAGAACACACCGATCTAGGCAAACACCCTCATCCAACAACACAAGAGAAGACTCTACACATGAAGACTCTACAAGAGAAGACATCACCAGATGGTCAACACAGAAATCAGATTGATTATATTCTTTGCAGCTGAAGATGGAGAAACTCTATACAGTCAGCAAAAACAAGACTGGGAGCTGACTGTGGCTCAGATCATGAACTCTCTATTGCCAAATTCAGACTTAAATTGAAGAAGGTAGGGAAAACAACTAGACCATTCAGGTCTGACCTAAATCAAATTCCTTACGATTATACAGTGGAAGTGACAAACAAATTCAAGGCATTAGATCTGTAGACAGAGTGCCTGATGAACTATGGATGGAGGTTCATGACATTGTACAGGAGACGAGATGAAGACCATCCCCAAGAAAAAGAAATGCGAAAAAGCAAAATGGTTGTCTGAGGAGGCCTTACAATTGGCTGTGAAAAGAACAGAAGTGAAAAGCAAAATAGAAAACGAAAGGTATACCTTTGAATGCAGAGTTCCAAAAGAGACATAAGAAAGGCTTCCTCAGTGATCAGTGCAAAGAAATAGAGGAAAACAACAGAATTGGAAAGACTAGAGATCTCTTCAAGAAAATTAGAGATACCAAGGAAACATTTCAGGCAAAGATGGGCTCAATAAAGGACAGAAATTGTATGGACCTAACAAAAGCAGAAGATATTAAGAGGTGGCAAGTATACACAGAAGAACTATACAAAAAAGATCTTCATGACTTAGATAACCATGATGGTGTGATCACTCACCTAGAGCCAGACATCCTGGAATGCGAAGTCAAGTGGGTCTTAGGAAGCATCACTCTGAACAAAGCTAGCAGGGGTGATGGAATTCCAGTTGAGCTATTTCAAACCCTAAAAGATGATGCTGTGAAAGTGCTGCACTCAATATGCCAGCAAATTTGGAAAACTCAGCAGTGGCCACAGGACTGGAAAAGGTCAGTGTTCATTCCAATCCCAAAGAAAGGCAATGCCAAAGAATGCTCAAACTACCACACAATGGCACTCATCTCACACGCTGGTAATGTTCAAAATGTTCCAAGCCAGGCTTCAGCAATACGTGAACTGTGAACTTCCAGATGTTCAAGCTGGTTTTAGAAAAGGCAGAGGAACCAGAGATCAAATTGCCAACATCCGTTGGATCAAAAAAGCAAGAGAGTTCCAGAAAAACATCTATTTCTTCTTTATTGACTATGCCAAAGCCTTTGACTGTGTGGATCACAACAAACTGTGGAAAATTCTTCAAGAGATGGGAATACCAGACCACCTGATCTGCCTCTTGTGAAATCTGTATGCAGGTCAAGAAGCAACAGTTAGAACTGGACATAGAACAACAGACTGGTTCCAAATAGGAAAAGGAGTACATCAAGGCTGTAATTTGTCACTGTGGTTATTTAACTTATACGCAGAGTACATCAAGAGAAACACTGGGCTGGATGAAACACAAGCTGGAATCAAGATTGCCAGCAGAAATATCAATAACCTCAGATATGCAGACGACACCACGCTTATGGCAGAAAGCAAAGAAGAACTAAAGAGTCCCTTGATGAAAGTGAAAGAGAAGACTGAAAAAGTTGGCTTAAAGCTGGACATTCAGAAAACTAAGATCATGTCATCTGGTCCCATCACTTCATGGCAAATAGATGGAGAAGCAGTGGAAACAATGGCAGACTTTATTTTGGAGGGCTCCAAAATCACTGCAGATGGTGACTGCAGCCATGAAATTAAAAGACGCTTACTCCTTGGAAGAAAAGTTATGACCATTCTAGACAGCATATTAAAAAGCAGAGACAGTACTTTGCCAACAAAGATCCATCTAGTCAAGGCTATGATTTTTCCAGTAGTCATGTATGGATGTGAGAGTTGGGCTATAAAGAAAGCTGAGCACTGAAGGATTGATGCTTTTGCACTGTGGTGTTGGAGAAGACTCCTGAGAGTCCCTTGGACTGCAAGGAGATCAAACCAGTCCATCCTAAAGGAAATCAGTCCTGAGTATTCATTGGAAGGACTGATGCTGAAGCTGAAACTCCAGTACTTTGGCCCCCTCATTCGAAGAGTTGACTCATTGGAAAAGACCCTGAGGCTGGGAGGGATTGGGGGCAGGAGGAGAAGGGGGTGACAGAGGATGAGATGGCTGGATGGCATCTCTGACCCAACAGACATGAGTTTGAGTAAACTTCAGGAGTTGGTGACGGACAGGGAGGCCTAGTGTGCTGCATTCCACGGGGTCACAAAGAGTCATGACAAAGACACGACTGAGCGACTGAACTGAACTGAACTGTGGTGGATCAGGAAGTCACCTGAAGGTTGCATCTGAGGAAAAAATGACATTATAGATGTTACTGAGGGAAAAAAAAAAAAAGACTAGAGATTGGGAGATCTGGGAGTCCTCTATTTACAAGAGTTTGGTTTTCTGATGCAAACACATTTGTGAAGTCAGAGTGGAGAAATGAGACCTATACACTGTATAAGAAAAGATCCAGGGTGAATTGGGGGAGGGAGGAGGGCTGCAGATGGAGTTGCTGAAGGGAGGGAGTATTTAGCTAGGACCCAGGTTTTCCCCAGGGTGGGACCAGGTAACTGCTCTGCCCATCAGAGAGATGTCAAGAGTTTTTGCCTGTAAGACAAGGCAGTGATGTGAACAGAAATGAAAATAGATGAAACAAATGAACAGTATTTGTGCCCAAATAAGGCTTACAAGTCCTTAAATGTGCAGCCCAGACCCCAACACCTTAAGATTTTGGTAATTGATTTAGCAGCAAAATCTGACCTGAACTGTCATGAGGCTGTTAAGAGTCTTTCTATAAGCCACTTAACTGATTTCTCAGTCATTGCTGTCGAAAAATGAACATATTTGACTACCACATTCTGCTCAGGATCCTGTGGTAGGGTTTACATAGTATAAAGGATACACTTGATATTTTCTGAAAACTGAAAGAGTGAATTTCAAACATGAAATTCTAATGGGTTATGGGACTGTGGATATGAATTTTAGGGAAATGAAAGTTCTCTAAGGTGAGAAGGAAGCTGTGAACTGCTATAGGCCAGGTATGGGTCTCTGTTTCTCTCCAGATAGGTCAGTCACAGTCAGGTGCAGATTGAAGCATAGGGAGCTCCTTCCATCAGTCAGCTAGGGCCTGGAAAGAATCAGAACCATAATAGCAGGACCCTAGGAGGCCTCCCTGGGACAGACACCCCACCACCACCACCACCACCACCACCAGGTCCTCTGCCTGCCTCTTGTCTGTAGAAAAACTTTAGCCTCCTAGGCCTTCCCTGAGTTTCAAAGAATAAATTTAAGCAGAGAAGTGAGACAATGCAGAAATAAAGGAAAAGTCAAACAAGGTGAAATAATAAGTTTCATCACTAAATAAAGTCAAGGACCATTAGTTCCTTTTAAGGGCTATAGATAATATTCTGAGGTACATCCTTGAGCTTTTTTTTTTTTTTACAGATAATGAAACCCCTACCAGGTGGAAGAAGTTGATTGCATGCTGCTCATTGGCAGGTAGACCTCAGACTGGTCGGAACCAGAAGGTTGATGATGCTGATTGTTGATTACCTCACCACCAACCAATCAGAAGAATGTCCACAAGCTGATCTTGAACCCCACAACCCCTCTCACTCACCCTATCTTTAAAAACCTTCTGAAGTCCAGTGGGCGGTTTGGGCATTAGTTGCCCGGACTCCTTGCTTGGTGCATACAGTAACTGCTGCACTTTTCCCACCACAACCTCAATGTTGGTAGACTGGCTTTACTGCACTGGGACCAATGGACAAGTGGACCCAAGTTTGGTTGGGTAACAGGACCAGCACTGCGCAGGTTCTCATCTTCCCTTCACTACCCCATCCTTGACCTCTCTAGAAAATGCAGGTGAGGTCTGAGAAATACAACTGCACTTTGAGGTAGGTTTGTAGACTTCCCTGGTGACTCAGATGGTAAAGCGTCTGCCTACAATGCAGGAAACCTGGGTTCGATGCCTGGGTCAGGAAGATCTCCTGGAGAAGGAAAAGGCAACCCACTCCAGTATTCTTGCCTGGAAAATCCCATCAACAGAGGAGCCTGGTAGGCTACAGCCCATGGGGTCGCAAAGAGTCGAACACGACTGAGCGACTTCATTTTCTTTCTTTGTGGCAGCGTGGCCATCACTTAGTGTTCATTTTTATTCTTCTGCTCATTAATTATCACGCATGCTTCATTCTTAGATAAAACTATTCGGAATTCACACAGATGATCAAGGGACCCCCGTGCCCGTCACGGGATCCTCAAACAAGTGCTTTTAACCGTGATAAGAGTAAGAAAGTGCTCCACGAAAGTAACTAATGAGGGACTGGGTGGCATCCTTCGGCCAGACTCAGAGAGCGTGCCTTGGCTCGGCAGGACAGAGCGCGGGGACACGCAGAAGGCCACATTTTCCCTCCGTCGCCAGGTACAGCTATCTACATACCTCGACCCGCCAAGAGCTTCCAGCCTGCCCGCAGCCCAACAAACGCCCAGCCTGCACTCGGCCGCTCACCCTGGGTCCCGCCTGCCCCCTTTCCGCTTCCGGCCGTCGGGGCGGGGCTTCCGGTCGCCGGGCGGGGCCTTGGGCTGCCTTGCGCGGCAGGTCTGGGAAGCGGCTGCGGCGGCGGCGGCGATAGTGTCGCGGAGACCGAGGTGTGGGCTATGGCTGTGAACCTAAGCCGCAATGGGCCGGCGCTGCTGGAGGCCTACGAGAGAGTGGTCAACGAGAAGTCCTCAACCGACTGGTGGGCGACCGGGCGGGCCGGGAGCGGGCCGGGAACGGGCTGGGGCTGGGGAGCCAGGCGCGCGGAAAGCTGAGCGCCGCGCACCTGCGCCACACCCCGCGAGATTAGGTCCCCACCTCCATCACCCCGTGCCCCTCTGTTTGTGCAGCTTAAACCCGGGTGGGGTCCCGGTAAGCCCCCAGCCCTTCCACTCCGCTAGCCACCGGTCTCGGCCCCTGGGCCTCGTTGGATCCTGGGCCTTGGCTGTGCTTGATGGCTTCGCCAGGTTCTCGTTTCCTGCTCGGGGACTTCCGTGGACAATGGGGCACTTTGAGAAAGCCCTCTCAGCCCTCCTTGAGAAAGCGGAAGCTACATCTGCCTTCATTCCGAATGTTCTGTTCAGCAGTGGGACTCCGAGGATGGTCTAGCAGCCAGACTGGAAATGGGAGCCTTGCTTTGGGAGCGTCAGACAGATAGGTTGAGGGATTTAGGTCCTTGGTTCTCCAGGGATTTTAAGAACCTCCCTTTCATCACGAAGAATACTACTTCGTATGCGTGAACTATGGGGAGATGAATGAAAGGAGGATGCTGGTTATCTGTTTGGAAAAGGTCCCACCTTCCCTCCACCTCCGGTGGCATCCTTTGCTGGAATGTCGGTAATAGGGCCTTTATAGTACAGAAGGCCTGAATCTGAAACCTCTGGCAGAGCCCAGGGTAGCCCACACATAGACCCTTGTTCTGTCCTGCATCAAGGGTCGTTGTAGGCATAGTAATTCTGTTTATTTCCATATGTCTTAAATTACATTCACAGATCAGTTTTGAGCGTTTATAGTTCTGAGAAATATGCTGCATATAATGAAGTAAGGTGACCAACTTTGAGGAGCCTTATTCCTTTGCCTGGGAAAGGGCTCTCTGGGCGAGGCTGAACAACTGTGGCTTTCTCCGCTTGTCAAGTGCTACTGTTTTCTCATCTCTGCTTTCCCTGGTGCCCAGCCCAGTGGCTTCTGTCCAGTGTACTATTGGGATATCGAGAACACTAGTGCCTATCCTTTCCTTCACTCTGAGGCATTTTAAGGAAGAGCTTCAGAATACCAGCTTCCTGGGTCTGCAGAATTTCTGGGACTACGTCAATGTGGGCAGGTCTGCATGTACAGACCTGCTGAAAAAATATCTGACCATGTCACTTCCCTGCTTAAACTCCGCAGTGGCTTCCTGTTGCATAAATAAAGCCTGGACTCTTCGCCATGGCTGACAGGCCCTGCATGACCTGGCTCCTAACTGCTCCACCTGTTTACCACCACTCTAGCCTTCTTTCGAAAAGACAATGGCACCCCACTCCAGTACTCTTGCCTGGAAAATCCCATGGACAGAGGAGCCTGGTAGCAGCCCATGGGGTCTCTTAAGAGTCGGACATGGCTGAGCGACTTCACTTTCACTTTTCACTTTCATGCACTGGAGAAGGAAATGGCAACCCACGCCAGTGTTCTTGCCTGGAGAATCCCAGGGACAGGGGAGCCTGGTGGGCTGCCATCTGTGGGGTAGCACAGAGCCAGCCACTACTGAAGCGACTTAGCAGCAGCAGCCTTCTTTTTCTTCCTTAAACTTGCAAGCTGGTGTTCCTCACAATCCTTGCTCTTTATGCTTCCTCTGCCTGGAGTGCCTTTCCACATCATCCTAGGGGGCTCCCCAAACGATTTCTCAAGCTCTGGTATTGCCTTTTTGGAGAAGCCTTTCTAGATTCCTGTTCGTTTGGTTGCAGTCAGATAGTCCCATCTCCCTGGTTGGCTTCCTCAGACACACACTATGCATCCTTGTTGATTTTGTCACCTTTTCTCTTCACCAGAAAGGATGGGGTGGGCTCCATCTCTGTGCCAGTTGTAGGGGTACTGAGAGGAGTACAGAAAAAGTGGCAGAGAAGCAAGAAGTGGTCTCCAGTTTGGTGGGTCATAAAGTTTCACATTCAGAGTGGGTGCATTGGAACAGGCTCTGAATCGAGATGGGATAGGGAGCAGCCATAACATCAGCTCTCTGTACTGGGTCTTTCTCCTGGGGAAACCAGGTTCTTCCCCTGGGTTGTGGCATATTTGCTCACTTCCTGTACCCACTTCTCTACCTGACTATACATTAGTGTGATGTGTTTGTGTGTGTGTGTTTTGTCTCCATTAAAAAGTAAGTTCTGTGGTCAGGCCCTATTAAGGATTATTCATAGCTGTATTCCATCACTCGCAAGTAACAGGCTTTCAGACTGTTTTTGAAAGTGATTGAGTTATAAGGTAGTTAGTGCCCACATGCTCCTTGTGCTGTGTGCCTGCACAAGCCAACAGCCAACACATCATTTTTTTTTAAATTTAATGTTTGCAAGAAGGTTGTTTGATTGAATGTTGGATGAACTTCTGAACTGGGAACATTCAAGAAGGTGGCTTAGGCTGGAGCCTAGGATAAAGGGGAATGAAGTCAGAGGGGTGGATGGTAGGCACAAGGCGTGCTACCATGCCTTGTTAGCTGCTGGATCTCTTGGAAAAGCGAAGACTGAGCAGCAGTCTCTGTTTCGTGGTGCTTGTCCAGTGTGCCTGTCTTCTGCAGCCACGGTTTGTGGCCTTCAAGAGGAATGGGTTTCTTTCCTCCAGGAGGAAGGCTGGTCAGGACCCTGACCGCCAGATTCTGGATGTCTCCCAGATCTTTGGACCTGGGTATAACTTCTTCTGACTTTCTTAGGCTCAGGCAGCTCTGCCCAGTGCTGTTTTCTAGGCCCGTGGAAAGCTGAGTGGAACTTGATTTGGTTCCTGTCAGACTTTTGACTCTGCAGTTTCTGTCTGGCACACCTCAGCAGCCTGTGCTCTGGAGCATGGGGAGATGACACGCCAGATTGGGTTTTGACTGGGTTAAGCCTTTGACTTACTGTCCCATGGATTACCACCTTCACCTTGGCGTCTGCCAGCACTCTCTGGAGCTGAGCTTCCGCAGGGTTCATGCTGATGGCTCGGCTTTATGTGGCCTGCATGGATGCTGTCTCTTCTAGAATGTTCTCTCTGAGTAATCTTTGTTCTGGTCAAAGGACCTTCCATGGCCCTTTCCTAGATTTAATACAATTTACCATACTTCTCAACACTTACAGGGCACAGATTTATAAGCCCAAATCTTTGCCAGCGTTCTTATGAATAGTCTTATAGAAGGAAGGTATGACCCAGGGTCACCTGTGAAGACCTGCGGCTCTGCTAGGTTATAGAACTTGCCCATAGGAGCCTGTCCTGTGAGGAAACTGACTTCATGTTGCGTCATGGCCTCTATGGTTTCTGATGCCGTATGCAACCTATAAAAGTCTGCATTTGCTGGAAGAGTCTCAAGCCCAGGCAGACCTGCTCCACCAACCTTTCAGACTTTCCAGAAGACTGCAGACATGCACACGGGCATTGGTTATTAAAAATGCATGTATTTCTCTATTCTCCTTCTCCTTGGCATGCTCTGGTTTCAGGAATATGCAAGTATCTTTTGCTTGTTCATATGGACATACATGGGCTTCCCTCATAGCTCAGTCGGTAAAGAACCTGTCTGCAATGCAGGAGACCCAGTTTCGATTCCTGGGTCGAGAAGATCCTTGGAGAAGGAAATGGCAGCCCACTCCAGTATTCTTGCCTGCAGAATCCCATGGACAGAGGAACCTGGCGGGCTACAGTCCATGGGGTCGCAATAGTCAGACACAACTTAATGAGTAAACCACCACCACCATCGACATACATGGTAGCAACGTAAATGTTTCACACATAAATGTGTAGAACGTTGCCATAAAATTTCACAGCCTAGTTTTCTGCAAGTAGACTCATGCTTCTCATCTCCGTAAGAGTTGGTCCTCACGACAAGCCACTCTGGTAGGTTGGGCCAGTTCCAGGTGAGAAGGCTGAGCTCTGGGAGCCCCAGCAGCCTACTGAGATCCTGCCTCATAGTGGGGCTTGTGTCAGCCCACTTGTTGCTGTCAGGCTGAGCTCTTGGGGTGCAGTGTGAAGCTTTGGTGGGTTCAGTGATGGCACAAGGTTACTGGGGCACTGGCTATGAGCCTATTTGTGTTTTGTTTCAGGGCCCTCTTTACTTATGAAGGAAACAGCAATGACATCCGCGTGGCTGGCACTGGGGGTGAGTATGGTCAAATGAGGAAGTAGATGGGCTACAGGAGCATCAGGAGGTGGGGGGCAGCAGGGAGAGTTGGGACATCAGTGCTCTATCTCTGCTGGCATTGACACCATCGCAGCAGAAGGAAGGACACTCAGGGTGCAGAGGTATTCCCTGCACGTGGCATGACCAGTGACACCTTCCCTGGCTGTCAGTGAGCCTGCCCCACATCAGTGTCAATGTTGAGGAATTCCCTGCTCCCCTGATCTGAGTGACTGCAGCCAGCCAGGCAGGACTTGCCCACAGCTCCTCTGGCTTGCTTTGGGTTTCAGATGTTTCTAAGTGAAAATACCTACTCCTTGGCTGTCTCTGCCTGGAGGTGCAAGGCAGCAGTGTTCTCTGTGTCATAGGTGGGAAGAGCTGAGATGGGGAATAGGCCTGCCCTCTCTAGCTTGCAGACAGCCCAAGGCCTGGCCTGTGCTCTGTCCTTAGCCACGGGCTGTAGCTGAGACAGGATGATAGTCCCCCAGAGCTGAGTGTTGGTGGAGAAAGAGAAGGTACAGACACATCCTTCTGCCCTCTTTCTGGTGGATTGAATATCTGCTGGGCACACCCCCACCTGGGAGAGGTCATATCAATGTATATGGTCAGCTGGGACAGGGTGACCTGGAAAAGTGCTGCCCAAATACAGGGTGATAGGAAGGCTCTTGGGAAGAACAGGCTCTTGGCCAGTGCTGGGCAGAGGGGTATAAACTGTAGATCCCCCACCTGATACCCTTGACTCCTTAATTCTCAAGGCCAGCTCACCTGACCTGAGTGACATAGCTTCATTATTCAGTGCATGCTCACTGGCATGTTCTCTGCTTGCTGCATGAATGGTTCTAGTAACTTGTTGGTAGAAAACCTCTTCCATGAGCGGTTCTTCTTGGTGGTCGTCTTTCTAGAAGGACTGCCACTGACGGTGGAATCAGGTGCACTGTGATGTCATAGGGAACTGAGAGTTGCAGAGTTCAGTTTTCATGCCACCATTCACAGTGATATTCACAGGCTCTGCTGTGGGTGCCCAGAGCAGGACCGCAGGACTGCCCCAGGTTTTGTGGAGCCCAATAGGTAAAATACCTGATCCAGCACTTTCTCACAACCTGGGAATGTCTGGGGTAGCTGAGAGGAATCCAGAACTCTAGTGCATGCTGGGGCTTACAGCCTAAGTGTCAGGGGAGAGTGGCATAGGGTCGACCACTCCTATTTCCCCATCACTCCCTTGTCCCTACTCAGGGAGTCTTAAGAGCTGAGGCCCTATATGACTGTGGGCAGTTAACATCTGCTCAGGAGCCTCTGGGTGGCCCTGGAGTCTGAGCAGACATGTAAGGACAGGGTGACTCACAGCAGGCCCTGCTATCCCAGGGCGGTTAGTGGAGTTCAGGCCATGGTAAAACTATTGCAGAGCTCCTCCATTGGAGGTCTGGTGCCTGCCTTGTTTGCAGCAATGACATTTTTATTTCCAGAATTACCTGTAAGTTTGCAGGAGGAGTGATTTTTAGACTAGTGTGGCTTAAAAATTACTTGAGGTGCTTCACAAGTGCAGACCCTGGGGTCCGTCCAGTTCTCATAAGTCAGCTTAGTGGGGGTAGGCCTAGGAATCTGATTCTGTTTCAGATAGGACTGAGAACCCTGGCTTAGAAGCAGCTTGGGTTTCCTTTCCTGGTGGACTAGGTGCCAGGGTGGGCGTGGGGTCCCTGGACCACCTCTGACTCTCCTTGTGACTGCTGCAGAGGGGGGCCTGGAGGAGATGGTGGAGGAGCTCAACAGTGGGAAGGTGATGTACGCCTTCTGCAGGGTCAAGGACCCCAACTCCGGCCTGCCCAAGTTTGTCCTCATCAACTGGGTATGTGGAACTTGAGGGCTTCTGAGTTCTCATCTAGATGTGATCCAGAAAAACTTCCTTTTCTTATTTCCTTCTTTGCCTTTTGTGACTGGAGCAGGGGAGAACTTGACTTCCCAACAGCTTGAATCTGGTGACTGGACAGAATAGTGGGTTCATTCATTGTGGCCCAAAGGGCACCTGGGGCCTTACTTGTGCAGACTTCACTGTCCTGGCCCAGAAGTACTCCTGTAAAATGGATTACAGGCAACCACAGGACACTCTTGTCCTTGTCCCTTTCAATGTAGTCATCCTCGGGGAGCAGAGGGCCTGGGTAAGGGCTAGGAGGGCTCTGGGAGTATAGCACAGTGACTCGAATGAAATGGCTCCCCTGGGTGGGGACTGCGGAATTCTAAGGAAACTTACCACAGTGGAAGCGGGTGACGTCCTTCTCCAAGACTCTGCCTGACTCGGAGGTTTGGGGTCTCACCATGTCCTCTGCTTTAGGGATTGCGGTTTTTGTCTTTCCTAGAACACAGGGAAACTGCCGAGTCCCTGGGGTGGGCGGTGACTTTGCAGGGAGACCTGGGTGACATCGAGGAATATGCTGTGTTGCAGACCGGTGAGGGTGTGAATGATGTGCGGAAGGGAGCATGCGCCAACCACGTCAGCACCATGGCCGGCTTCTTGAAGGTGAGGGCTGCTCTGTACGGGGCCTCCCAGCATTCACCAGATCTCCAGGTTCCAGGGTGTGAGGTGGCAGGAATCACATCCAGAGTTGGAAGTGTGCCTTGCATCTGAGGCTGCTCTGCTCTTGCCCAGGATGTAGCCAGAGCCCCTGCAAGCTGGCCTCAGTGGGTGGGGACAGAGGACCACAAAGAGGCCATGCTGGAGCTGGTCTTGAGGCAGGGCTAAGCCTTGGGTTCCACTTGTTTTATGAGGACAAATTTTCAGCTGTACTTTAAGGATCTGGAGGAGAAGGATAGTTGCTTATATCCACAACCTCAATGTGCATGTTCCCTTTAATGCTTGTTTTTTTCCCAGTCCATTTTTGCATATATTTATTTTAGTCATCATATAATGGAACTTTGTTTAATTTCAAGAGCATTGTGATCAAAAACTATTTGTTGTTCACTTGTCAGCTTACTCTTTGCATTTCTTTGGTTACTGGCAAGGAGATCCAGGATTTTGTTTTCTGGTTCTGCCAACATTTCTTCATATATACCTCAGTTTCTCCATCTTGGAGGTAAAAGAGAGGGTCCCAAGCTTATTGGTGTTTAGTACCAACAAGGTCATAGTTCTCATTTTTCATGGAGAAATAGTAGCTTGCTTTTTGCAGAAAATGTGCTTGTTTCCAGGTGCCTTTTAAGGTTTGTTTTCATTCACCGGGAAGAAGCTCTTTAATGCCAGGGCTGTCTTGTAGCAGTGCTGAACAGGCCACACTGTGGAGGGCGCGGGCCTTCCACGAAAGCTGGGATAAGAACTGTAGGTTTCCCTCAGCTGGTTTTCCTGAGGCCCTGGTGAGAGCAGGCCTCCTGACCCTGAGCCCTGTGCAGCCTGTCCTCTCCTGGGGCCGCAGTGCTTTTTTCTCATCAAGTCCTGCTCCTGCTGCAGGGGGCCCATGTGACCATCAATGCCAGGGCCGAGGAGGACGTGGAGCCCGAGTGCATCATGCAGAAGGTGGCCAGGGCCTCAGGTGCTAACTACGCCTTCCACAAGGAGAGGAGCCGCTTCCAGGACACGGGCCCCCAGGCTCCAGTGGTGAGTGCTGTGTGGCCCTGAGGGCAACCCCTAACTTCAGACCGATTGGACCCACGTTCAGTGCTTTATTCCCAGAGGGACTGGGCCGCCACCTGCCTGGCTTCTGGTCCCGGAGCCTGATTGAGGTGCCTATGGTGACCCTGTGCCTGACAGGAGCAGGAGTTGCCTTCTTGAGGCAGGCACCAGTGCGCATGAGGAGTGGCCTTTCACCCTGTGCGGTGGTGCTGGAGCCTCTCACGCTGCATCTGTGTGGTCAGGGGTTCTCTGCAGAGAGATTCCATCCACCCTGCAGGCCACGGCACCGGAGTATCCTGTGTGGCCCTGGACAGTGGTTGCTTTGGAGCAGCTCCTGGTGGTGTACAGGGGAAGCCTCTCTTAAGTTGTGGCCACACACCTTTGGGCTTGTGGCCTGGTGCTTGCTGCGGAGCTGAGTCTCCCAACATGCAGCTGAGGTTCTTGGGTATTCTGTGGGTGCTGCACTGCAGTTAGCTGTCTGAGGGAACCCCTGTCCAGAGTTTTCCTCAGCACGGCCCAGCTCCCAGGATTCTCAGGCAGGCCCAGGGGCCTTTCCTGCCTTGGCCTCCGTGCACAAGGGCCTGGTGCAACCAGAAACGATTCCAGTGTTCTCTGGGGTTGAGCATCCCCACTTGGAGTGTCCAGGGCCTTTCAGGCGGGTTTTGTTTCAGGCCTCCTTAAGAGTCACTCTTCCAAGCGCCACTCTTGTCAGGTGCCATCACAGCAGTTCTTAGCCATTCTGTGCTCCCGTCAGTGGCCCTGTAGTGCATTCTCTGTCCTCTCAGGGCTCAGTGTACCAGAAGACCAATGCTGTGTCTGAGATCAAAAGGATTGGCAAAGACAGCTTCTGGGCCAAAGCAGAGGTAAGTGCTGCCCAGGGCGTGATGACGAGAGCTGGCATTTATGTAGCATTGTCTGTGCACCAAACATGAGCTGCTCCATCTCAGTTTTTCTTACAATAAGTTCACTGATACTTGTTCAGTAAGGGATTTGAATAAATAAGCCTTTTGGCACCCATTTGCAGATGGCTGAACTAAATGCTTAGAGGTGTTAAGTAACATAGCTAGTGAGCGTTGCTTTCGAGCCCACGCTTGACCACAGCCTCTGCAGCCTGGCTGAATGGGTCACGGCTGAGAGGGGAGGCCCATGTTGCCGGCAGTGCAGAGGCCGAGTGCGGCAGGCGGGTGCGACTCTCCCTGCAGAAGGAGGAGGAGAACCGCAGGCTAGAGGAAAAGCGGCGAGCGGAGGAGGAGCGGCAGCAGCTGGAACAGGAGCGCCGGGAGCGGGAGCTGCGCGAGGCTGCCCTCCGGGAGCAGCGCTATCAGGAGCAGGGAGGCGAGGCTGGCCTCCAGAGGTGAGGTGGGGGCTGGCACCTGGGAGGGGCTGTCTCTCCTCCTCCCTAGGAGTGTCCCCCAGAAGCAGGTAAGGAGTATGCTGAGGCCAGGCTGCAGCTCTTCCCTCTGCTCCTCCAGCAGGAAGTATGAACAGCATGAGGTGGTTTCAAGGAACAGAGAGGAGCAGGTGAGTCTTGGATGCTCCCACCTTGAGAGGCCAAAGTAATACGTGGAGGCTCGTCCAGGACAGGTGTGTAGGCTGCCTGCTGGGAATGATGGTGGCCACATGGATTCCTCCAGATGCACACATCTTGTGCCACAGGCCCTAAAGAGGGGCTTCCTCTAAGGGGCCTGCAGGGGCTGCGCAGATCTGAACATGGGACATGTGGTGTCTCAGAGCTGGCAGTGGAGAGGAGGCTGAGGGCAGAAGCTTAGCCTGATGTGGGTCTCCTGTGGTCCTGGAAAAGACCTGTGAGCCCCTCAGCTTTGGGGTGTTGCTTCCTGACCCCCCTGCACAGCTGCAGGGAGCCAGGCAGGCCGATGGACTCCTGGGCCTCATTCACTATCGGGTCCATGTGCACTCCTCTATGAGCTTGTTTGTCCACAGCCAGCACACCCACGGGAGATTTTCAAGCAGAAGGAGAGGGCCATGTCTACCACATCCATCTCCAGCCCCCAGCCAGGTGAGACTTCCCTTGGTCCAGCTGTGAGGCGGGGGATGGCTGAAGGGGTCTGGGGTCCCAGTACAGGCCGCCCTGAATTAGTGACAGATGTATCAGAACGTGAAAGGGATGAGTAAGGAGAGCCTGTGCTTGTGTGGGTAGCTTCTGGGATGCGAGCCTGGGACCCAGGTGCCACCTTCCTGCTCTTGACCTCCTCCTCCAGAGACCTGGTGGGACAGGGGGGACCATGTGTGGCTCTAGAAAGGATACTCTCCAGTCCTGGCCCTGTGCCCCTGGCACAGCTCCCGTGCTGGGCTGTTATCTGAGCCTCAGGGCCCTGGATCCATCATCTCTCTGGCCCTCAAAGGCTGTATCAGACTGCACTGCTGGCCAGCTCTCGAACACTGCACAAGGCCCACGGTGCACATATGTGATGTGTGCATGCTAGGTAGTATTCCTGTAGCTGTTCCACGTCCCCATTCACTCCCTGTGTGATGCTCACTGTCCCAGAACAGGTCCCCCTTCTGAGCAATACAGAGCACAGAAAAGATAGCAGGTACTTGCTTCTTCCTCCTTTCCAACTGTGTGATGTCTTACATGTTTACCATTGGTTTGTAGGCAAGCTGAGGAGCCCCTTCCTGCAGAAGCAACTCACTCAACCAGATACCCCCCTCAGCAGAGAGTCAGCTCATGCCACCTCAAGGCCCAGGGCAGGCAAGGCTGTTGGCTGCCCCGTGGAGGGTTGTGGGTGGGAGGGAGACGTGGGTTGTCCTGTCCCCTCCCCTGGGTCAGAGTGAGTTGTGTCCCCTCGTGCAGATCTCCGCGAGGAGCCGGTGCCCAGCATCCCTCCGTGTTCGGTGCAGGTGGAAGAGGAGGCTGTGTACGAGGAACCCCCAGAGCAGGAGACTGTCTATGAGGAGCCTCCGATGGTGGGTTCTCTGCAGCAGGGCAGATCTGTGAAGGGGCCGCATACCCAGAAATGCACTCCCTGGCTCTCCCATCATGGGACACCTAACTTTGTGACTCACTGCCTGTGACTCATCTCGCTTAGTCCTGGAGGAGGCCCTGGCCCTCGTGCCCTCCCCACAAGTCTGTGGTGGGCCCTGGTCACAAGCAGGGTTGCGTCTGGGGTAATCAAGACCTGAGACTCGGCTTCTTCTTTCCCGCCCATGGGCAGGTGCAGCAGCAAGAAGCCGGCTCGGAGCCCGTTGAACACTCCCGCGGGCTGAGTGGGAAGGGGCTCTGTGCCCGGGCCCTATATGACTACCAGGCAGGTAATGTGCTGTCCAACCGCCTCCGGCCGCAGGGCCCGAGACCAGGAGGCGGGGTTTGGGGGCCCCTCGAGGAAATAGCCCCAGGAGGGGTCAGACATGGAAGCAGGGTGAGGAGGAAGAACGGGTGGGTGTGCTGCACAACTCAGGCGTCCCCACGTGCTCTGAGCAGCTGCTTGCTGACCACTGGTGTGAATCCCAGTTGCCCACCTTGTTCTGGAACTAGAAATATGACCAGAGGAATGGGTCAGAGACCTGGATGCTGGTACCCCTCCCGCTGACCCTGGGTGGAGGCTTCAGGGAGCAGGCTGATACGTGGAAGTGCTATATTCTAGTCTTTCACTGGGACAGTGGTCCCAGAGTCAGACTGTGTAGAAAGATGTGTCCTGGGGGACTGGCCACAGGAGCAGCATCAGGACAGGCTGGTGGCCAGGGTCCCCGAGCTCTCAGCACAGCATCTGGGCTCACCTTCTTTGCAGCCGACGAGACCGAGATCTCCTTTGACCCTGAGAACCTCATCACCGGCATTGAGGTGATTGACGAAGGCTGGTGGCGTGGCTATGGGCCAGATGGCCACTTTGGCATGTTTCCCGCCAACTATGTGGAGCTCATTGAGTAAGGACCCTCGACTGCTGGCTGAAGCCAAGGGCTGTCCTTCCCTTCCCCACCCAGATGTGATTTCCTTCTTGCTGGAAGAGGTTGGGTGAGGGTTGTGTACGGCACTTTCAAGGAATGGTATCTGCTGATGAGGACAAGCCCTCTGGCTCCCTCTGGCTTGGGTGGCTTGGCCTCTGTTACCCCAGATGCAGCAATAACCTGGTGATCTCCAGACGTGCTACCAGAGCTTCCCAAACCCCCAAACAGCCTGGCCCTTGACCCCCAGCAGAAGACACTGCGCCGAGGCCTGCCCAGAGCCAGCCCACAGTAACCTCTGCCCCAGGAGTGTGGCGCTGCCAGGGGCGTCTGAGCAGAGGCACCTCGAGGCCTCCTGCATTTGCCTTTCTTTCCTTTTCCTCTTGGCTCCATGGGATGGTGTCTATAACTAGAATGTCCGTGATCCTTGGGAACAGTGAACATAGTTTATGACCAAAGTCGGAGTGGGCCATGACTTTGACGACAGTATTTCTGGATCCTACTCTGTCCTGCCCATTTCTCTGTTCCTCTGCCTGGGCTGTGGGCAGTGGAGACAGGGACGACCAAGCCCCCATCTGAATATGTGAAGGAGGAGGTGAAAACATCAACAGACACTGCATTTCCTTCCATGTGGCTCACTCTTGTCTCCTGGCCCCAGTGTGCCTGAGAGGTTCAGGAGAAGTAACCATGGTGGCCTGTTCCTGCTGTCTTTCCTTATTTCTGCCCCAGCCCACCTATGTCTGCTTTTGGAATAACAACTGCCCCACACAGGCGCTAGCTCTGATCCATCCTATTGTAGCCCTCACCTGTACACCCTCTGAGCAACCATTAGCCACCTAGAAGAGGCATAAAGATCTACATGTGACTGAAGTCAGCCTTCTGCATCTCAGTTCTCTGGGAGGGGCCGAGGACCACTCTGACCCTTGCCACAGGGAACTGCCCCTCACCCAGGACAGCCCGTGTGCCTGTGTGCATGCAGCGAGGCACCCGCACCACCGTGTCTGGGGAATTAGAGCTCCTCTTCTAGTGCCTGGCAGAAGCAGCGTGGGGCAAAGGATGTGCTGAGGAGGCTGCCAGCCCCAGGCAGTGGGGCTGGTGGCCAATCCCAGTGCCCGCCCCCCACCTCCCCCACTGCCTGGCTGCAGATGGCACTTCCTGTCGACTTAGGCTGAGCTGCAGGCAGGTCCCACCATGTCCAGATATCTCAGGACAAACTCCAAGGCTCACCCAGCCATGGGAGCTCCATGAATCACGTATTGCCAGCTTTAAGGCCACCTGTGGGCTTGTCTGTCCCTGGACAAGGGGACACTCACAGGGCAGAGCCCAGGCTACCATCTTGCCCTTCCCACCCTGGGGCTGCAAAGATGGTAGAGGACAACTAGTGTGAAGGAAGTGGTGTCCTGGCTGCAGTCCTGGCTCACCATGGTGTGGGCTGCATTGCTTGGACACCCTTTAGGTGACCTTGGGCACTCTTAATTTAGAGCAAGGCTACCAAGTGGCTCCAGCTTTGGGGGTTACATGGTGAGTTGTCAGGAGCCACTTGCTAGCCAGGGATAGGGAGTCTCTCGGCCACCACTGATGGGGATGGCTTGGGCAGGCAGCATGGGCCTGGGACTGTGCTTGTGGCATCCCAGGCTGCAGACCTGCGGAACTAGCCCTGAGGGAGTGCTGGGGTAGCAGGTGGGCTTCTGCCAACCCACCTGCCGGACGTCTGGGGCTGTGCTGAACTCGAGGCTGTGGAAGGAGGTGCCTTTATTGCCAGAGCCCGCCCTTCACTTGGCCTTTCCCTGGGCGGCCACAGCTTCCATGGCCTTCCGCACGGTCTCCTCGTCCCCCAGGAAACGCATGGGCTTGGTGGGCTTCAGCGCCTGGTCCAGCTCGTACACGATGGGGATCCCCGTGGGCAGGTTCAGCTCCATGATGGCCTGGTCTGACATCCCTAGACCGGGGGAATAGGGTCCTTAGCCCCTCCCAGCCTGTCGACCAGCCAGCCACCTGCTTGTGCATTTAGCAGGTTTCGTGACCTTCATGGGCCACAGTGCTGTGAGCCAGGCAGCAGTCTTCCCACCCCTGATAGCACAGCCACAGGAGTGTGCCCGGAGAAGGTCAAGGCAGCTCTGAGACAGCAGCCTACAGAAATAGCTGTGGTGAGCCAGGGACCTCACTCCACCCCAAGCTGTCTTCATCTGGGGCGATGCTGTCAGCCCCCTTGGCCCAGCGTGAACTCTGGGTGTTTGGGATCAGGGGAGACGTTAACCATGTGGTTTCTAGAGAGTTACAGTTTCTGGACATTCTAAGCAAAGGAGCGTCGGTGCCTTGAGAAGGGGGAGGGGGCAGGGAGGGACAGCGAGAAGGGCTGCTCATGGCCACGGTGGATGGGAGGTCCTGCCAGGTGCAAAGGAGAGGTTTCCGAGGAAACCCAAGCCTGCTGGCCTCCAGTCTGTGGCCTGGAATAGCAGCTCGACCTTTGGCATTCCTGTTACCCCACTCTGTTGATGCAAGGGGAGCTTAAGAGAACATGCTCTGGTCAGTGCGAGACCCCAATCAGCTTCGCCTCAGTGCATTCATTTCTCCTAGACCAGGCTGCAGGAAGTCCCCAGGAGGGAGGGCAGGTGGTCTTTCCGTCCGCTAGGCTCACCGCCAAATGGGAGGCATCTGTGTGGACTCAGCATCAGAAAGGCAGCTGGGGCTTCCATGAAGGAGCCTGTCATACTGTGAGGTATTGATGTTTTAATGAAAGCCAAGTTACGAACCTAAGGTCTCTAGTGTCCTCCACACCCTGCTCCCTTCTCTTGACTAATCTTTGCTTGGAGTGGGTGTGGGCAGGACCTTGCCCTCGGTTACCAGTAACATGACTTGACCACGTTCACTCAGCAAGCTGGGATTTAGAACCAGATGGGCTCTTTTCAGGAGTGGGTGTCCTTTGGCAGGATGCCAGCCCCAGGGCCTTCCCCCTTCTCACCTGGGGCTTGAGTTTGGGAACCTGGGCCAGCAGTGGACCCCTGTATGGGGCCTGGGCCCTGAGTCAGTGGTGGCAGACATTTTCACCCAGAATATTCAGAAGGAGACTCATGTCACATGGTGTCCCAGTACCCAGAGACTTAAAAAAAATTTTCTTTAATTTTTTTTTTAACAGAGGTTTCTCAACCCTCCTGGCTGTGAACTGGAGTTCACAATTAAAAATCCCTACCCTGATGCTGATGTCTGCAAAGCTGCCTCAATGAAGTGACTGTCCCTTATATGAAAAGAGCAGTTGGGGGCTGATTGGCTCATGGGAACGTGTCATCCCACCCGCCTCTGCCCATTCCATATGTGAGGATGGGCCTCACCTTCCAGGTGCTTGACGATTCCCCGTAGGCTGTTCCCGTGGGCTGCAATGAGCACTCTCTTGCCAGCCTTGATCTGAGGGGCGATCTCATCATTCCAGAAGGGCAGGGCCCGTGCAATGGTGTCCTTGAGGCTCTCACACGTGGGCAGCTCCCCAGCTTTCAGGCCTGCATACCGACGCTCCTGGGGGCATCCAGGCTGCTGTTCACTCCCCAGGCAGGCACCCCCGCCTCGACCCGGCCTCCATCCCTGAAGGCCTGGGCCCCAGGCCTTCCCTTTGCCCTCCCACGTCCCAGCACCTCACCTTGCTGATGGATTGGTAGTAGGGGTGCTTCTCATCCATGGGGGGTGGTGGGATGTCAAAGGAGCGCCTCCAGATCTTCACCTGCTCCTCCCCGTGCTTAGCGGCCGTCTCTGCCTTGTTGAGGCCAGTGAGACCCCCGTAGTGCCGTTCGTTAAGGCGCCAGGTACGCACCACGGGCAGCCACATCTGGTCCGTCCCGTCCAGGATGGTCCAGAGGGTGCGTATGGCCCGCTTCAGCACTGACGTGTAGCAGATGTCAAATTCCATCTTTGCGTCCTTGATGGCCTGGGCCCCCCTCTTGGCCTCCTCAGCCCCCTTCTCGCTCAGCTCTGCGTCGAACCAACCACAGAAGCGGTTCTCCTGGTTCCAGGTGCTCTCACCGTGCCGAACCATCACAAGGCGGTGGGTGGACATGGTGGTAGAGGTGGGGACTGGCGCGCTGTGGACCGGGGCGGGTGACTCCTGGGTGCCCCAGCTTTATAACGGTCTGGCCCCAGCCCCCGCCCCAGCCAACTGCCAATCAGCATTCCAGGCCTGACAGGCGGTGGCAGGTGCCCAGTAGCAGAGTTGGTGTAAGGCAGGCCAAGAGCTCGACTTAAAATAGCCTCACCAGACCCCACTGCCCAGAGCCCAGGCTGGGTGGGGCTGCTGAGCAGGGCTGGCTGTGAAGAACAGAAGCCAGGGCCTCTGACAAGTCTGAAATTTGAGGGCTATCAGAAACAGAAGGGCTCTTTGGGGAAAGACCCCCAGATGTTGGGGCTCCCAGCCCTGTCAACCTGCTTGCTCTCTGCTCCCAGGGAACTTGTCACTCTTAGGCAGAGGCACAGTAAAGTCCTAACTGCTTTCTTTGAATCACTCAACACAACTGGGGCACAAGCCTGCATTTCAGTAAGGATACTAGTATGCTGTCAAAGGAACCAGAGTGTGTGAGTATGCACATGTTTGCCCACCCACGTGTGCGTGCCTGTGAGCACGTGTGTGTGCATGCATATACTACATAGATGTATGTGTGCCTTGTACTCACATGTATGTTGCATGTGTGCTCGCACATATGCATACATGTGAGCTGCCAGAAGGCTCCCCCCGTGGCTCTGCTCACCTATGAATGGGGTCTGTATATTGGCAGGGGACCTTCCGCAGGACTCCTGACCTCCCTCCTCAGGTCCCTCTTGCCCTGGCAGACTCTGCCTTGCCTGCTCACAGGATGGGTCCTACAGAAGCCTCTGGCTGACAGCCAGGCTGGGAGGGACTGTGATATCTCCACTAATCCCCTCAAAGGACAGGGGAGAAGGAAAGGGTGCTGTGGGCAGAATGAGGGGATGGGTGAGGGCCGCAAGCCCTGAAGGGAGAGGTCTGGCCCTGTGGAAAGTGGCAGCAGTGTGGGGCAAGGGCTGAGGTGGGTTTCCAGGGCAAATGAGAGCTGCAGGCCTGGCTGCTTGGGCCAGAGAGGGGCAGAAGGTTTTCTGCTCTCACATCCTTTTGTCAAGTTCTTTCCCACATCTGCCACATACTCCCACCCTACCTGTCTTCATGCAAGACAGGCTTATTCTTCTTAGTTGAAAGTACCCTTAAAAAGAAAAAGAAATCCAGGACTCATAAGGGGTCCCAGAATCAGAGGTACTGTGTGTTAGGTCTGTGCCCAGCTTATCAGAAGCATGCAGAGGTCAGCTGAGGTTGGGACTTGGGGGCAGTAGAGTTGGTTACAGGCCCAGGACTTCTGCATTCAGTTTTGGGGGGTCAAGGGCCGCTGGGGTCTTGGCAGTGAAGAAATCAAGCAGAGGGGCAGGGTTAAGATGCCAAGTTGCAGCTGCACCAGCAAAGAACCAATCTTTATAGAACAGCAAACAAGTGTGTGGTAAAGAGGCATGGAGGGCCTGGGTCATGTGTCCTAATGATTGAGTATCACTGGAGAGTTTGAAGCACGATTGTAAACTCAGTTGGCGGCTGTGGAGGCAGGATTGGAAGCCAAAGGCCCTGGTAGAGGTGGTGGTTTTGGGTTAGGTGTGAACGAGGCTGCTTAGCCTAGGCTGGGTGCAGATGGCTTGGTGAGGAGGTGCTAGACTGGGGAGCCACTGGGCTTACTGCAAATCAAAGGAAGAGATGGGACATACCTTTCTGTCTGTCTGAGGGATGTTGAGAAAACATGGGACCTCAAAGGAAGTTTTAAGATCGAGAAGACACACAGCTTCTCAGTCGTGGCTCACTTCAACCTGCCTCATTCATTCAAAAAGTGTTTGCTGGGCAAGTCTGGTGTGCCAGGGCTGTTCAAGCACTGGGCAAGCAAGGCTCTGCCTGGGGGGGTCTCCATCCCAGTGATGGGACATAGACAGCAACATGTGATGTGTGTAGCATGGTGGACAGTTAAGAGGTCCATGGAGAAGCAAGCAAGGGGGTAGGAGGACTGCTCTTTAATGGGACTGTCCTGGGAGGATGGAGTGAGCACCCTCCACTGGTCTCCCCATGACCACAGCTGTAAATCCTGGACAGGCAGAATGCAGATCTCAGAAAAGTATCAGGCAGATAAAGCAGGTCAGATTTTTTTCTTCTAGAATTTCCCAACTTGAAACCTAGAAGTATGCCCAATGTGGACAGAAAGGGCTCCAGAAACTATCTCTGGTCCAAGGAGTAGAAATAAAGTTCCTACAAGTCCCTTCCTTTACTCCCCTTCTTACCACCACAGCTCCTGGGCAGTAATGCGGAGGTGGCACTGTCAGCCAGGCAGGTAGCTAAAACCATGAGAGAAGAGCTACCCTCTAGCCAGAGGTGAGGCTACAAGAGTGCGTGGCAACAACCCACTGCTTTCTCTCTCTGCCCTCCTGCAGCTGAGGACTGGATGCGGCTGCAGGAGCTGTGCAGCAAGCTGGGGCATGGAGGGGGAGTAAGACCCCAAATTTCTGGCCAGTGGCCTTGAAAAGCAGGGACCAGGTAACTGTCAAGTATCAGGGTAATCATGGAGAAGACAGATTAGGTGAGTGATTCAGTCCAGTTACAAATGAATTCCTGGGCTCCCTGCACTTGTGGTCTTCGACCTAGGCTGACCCACTGGTGACCTGATTATCTGCCAAAATGATAAGATCAGTATTCTTAGAATTTAAACAGACTCTCAATATCCAGAATACCTAGGACAATTTTGCATGTGGCAGTCCAGGTTTCCCCAAACCATTTATTGCATGTCCTTTCCCTATTGTATATTCTTGGTTCTTTTGTTGTAAATTAGTTGACCACTCAAGGGTGGGGGTTTATTTCTGAGTTCTCTATTCTGTCCTTTGGCCTATGTATGTGTTTTATGCCAATATCATACTTTTTTGATCACTGTAGCTTTGTAATATAGTTACAAAGAACTGTATCTCCAGCTTTGTGCCTCTTTTTCAAAATTCTTTAACTATTCATGGTCTTTTGAGGTTCCATACAAAGTTTTAGCTTTTTTGTTTTGTTTTGTTTACTCTTTTGAGAAAAATGCCATTGGAATTTTGATAGGGACTACACTGAATCTATAAATTGCTTTTTGTAACATGGACATTTTAACAATATTAATTCTTCCAGTCTATGAGCAGAGAATAGTTTTACACTTGTTTGTATTATCTTCAAATTTTTCATCTGTGTCTCAGGTTTCAGTGTATAGATCTTGCACCACCTTTGCTAAATTTATTTCTAGTTATTTTTTTTATGCAATTGTAAGTAGGATTGTTTTCTTAATTTCTTTTTCTGCTGTTTTTTAGTGTATAGAAACATAACTGATACTTGTATATTTTGTATTTCAAAACTTCATTGAGTTTATTAGTTCTGACAGTTCTAGATTTCTTCTAGATTGTTGAATTTGTTGGTATATAATTGTTCATAGTGGTTTCTTATGGCCCTTTATGTGTTCAGTTGTAATGTATCTCTTCCTCTTTCATTTATAATTTTGTTTGACTCCTCTCAATAATGAGTAGCTAAAGCTTTGTCTGCTTCGTTTGTTTTTTCGAAGAACCAGCTCTTTGTTTCACTGATATATACCGTTATCTGTTCATTCATTTCTGCTCTGATTTTTGTTACTTCTGTCCTTCTACTAACTTTGGATTTTTCTAGTTCCTTGAGGTATAAGGTTAAATTGCTTATTTAAGCTCTTTCTTTTTCTTAATGTAGGTGTATATTGCTATGAACTTCCCTCTTTGAACTGCTTTTGCTGCATTCCATATGCTTTGGTATGTTGTATTTCCATCTTCATTTGTTTCAAGATATATTTTGGTTTCTCTTTTGACTTCTTTTTTGATTCATTGATTATTTAGGAATATATTATGTCATCTCCAATATTTGTGAATTTTCCAGGTTTCTTCTTGCAGTTGATTTCTAGTTTTAAACCATTGTGTTCAGAAAAGATGCTTGGTATGGTTTTGGTATTCTTAAATTTATTAAGAACTTGCTCTGTGGATATCTATCTTGGAGCATATTCCATGTGTGCTTGAGAGGAGTGTGTATTCTGTTGATAGATGAAATGTTCTGTATATGTCTGTTAAGTCCATTTGGTATAATACATGGTTTTAAGTCTAATTTTTCCTTATTTTCTGTCTATATGATCTATCCATTGTTGAAAGTGGGATACTAAAGTCCCCCATTATTACTGTGTATATCTATTTTCCCTTCATGTCTGTTAATATAGACATAAATATATAATATTTAATAAAGATATATAAATTATACAAATATATAATAATATATATAATAAATATATATTTGCTTTCCCTAATGCAGGTGCAAAATATTTTTGGGGGGTATTCACCTTTTTTATTTTAATTGGAGGCTAATTATTCTATAATATTGTGGTGGTTTTTGCCATACATTCACATGAATCAGCCATGGGTGTACATGTGTCCCCATCCTGAACCCCCCTCCCACCTCCCTCCCTATCCCATCCCTCTGGGTCATCCCAGTGCACCAGCCCTGAGAACCCTGCCTCATGCGATCAACCTGGACTGGTGATCTATTTCACATATGGTAATATACATGTTTCAGTGTTGTTCAAAAATCATCCCATCCTTGCCTTCTCCCACAGAGTCCAACTGTCTGTTCTTTACATCTGTGTCTCTTTTGCTGTCTCACATATAGGGTCATTGTTACCTTCTTTCTAAATTCCATATATATGTGTTAATATACTGTATTGGTGTTTTTCTTTCTGACTTACTTCTCTCTGTATAATAGGCCCCAGTTTCATCCACCTCATTAGAACTGATTCAAATGCATTCTTTTTAATAGCTGAGTAAATATCTAAAATTACCCTTGTTGTATTGACCCTGTCGTCTTTATACAATAACCTCTACATCTCTTTATATATGTGCATGTTTATATATATAGAGAGAGAGCAAAGTAAATCAGCTACATATATATGTATATCCACTCTTCTTTAGACTCTTTCCCCAGATAGGCCATTAGAGAGTGTTGTGTGGAGTTCCCTGTGGAAGAATTAGGTCCTTAGTTGTTATCTATTTTAGTTTTGTTATTGAAGTATAGATGACTTACAATGTTGTGCCAATTTCTGCTGTGAATCAAAATAACTCAGTTATACACATATGTACATGTTCTAAAATATTCTTTATCATTGTGGCTTACCACAGGATATTGACCATAGCTCCCTGTACATTAAGACCTTTTTGTTTATCCAGTGCAAATGTAATAGTCTGCATCTACCGACTCCAAACTCCTGGCCCCTCCGTCTCCCTCCCCCCTACCTTGCCAACCATAATCTGTTCTCTATTTCTATGAGTCTGTTTTGCAGATAGGTTCATTCCATGCATGGAAAATGACGTCTCTCAGTGTGTCTGACTCTTTGCAACTCCCTGGACTGTAGCCTGCCAGGCTTCTCTGTCCACAGGATTTTCTAGGCAAGAGTACTGGAGTGAGGTGCCATTGCCTTCTCCAGGGGATCTTGGATCCCCAGGGGATCTTCTCCAGGGATCGAACCCAGGTCTCTCACATTGTAGGCAGACACTTTACCATTTGAGCCACCAGGGAAGTCATTCCACATATAAGTGATAACATATGTTATTTGTCTTTCTTTTTCTGACTGATAATAATCTAGCTGCATCTGTATTGATGCAAATGGCATCATTCATTAATTTTTATCGCTGAGTATCAGTCCATCACATGTATGTATGCATGCTCTTTATCTGTCCCTCTGCTGATGGACATTTTGGTTCTTTCTATGTTTTGGCTACTGTGAACAGTGCTGCTATGAATATAGGGGTGTATATATCTTTTTAAATTACAGTTTAAAAATTTTTCTTTTTTTAAAAAGTGTTTATTTAATTGGAGGTTAATTACTTTATAATATTTGTGCTGGCTCTTGCCATACACTGACATGAATCAG